CGATTTCGCCCCCCCCCGAGGAACCTGCCGCGCTGGACGCGACGGGGTTGATGACGAACGATCTCCGCTGCTGCGATGGCTCGAAAACTATGCTAGAGGGGTCGCGAGGGGGCAGCGCGTCCCTTCCCACCCACTCTACCTCCCCGTTCCAGTCGCCACGCGGTCGTATGAGCGTCGCGTCTTCGCATGTGCGTCACCCTCGTCCTTGCGGCCCTCGCAGCTGCTGGGATCGTTGCACGATTCTGCATATTCGCGGAGCGGCGGGCCCTCAAAGACGGCCATCCCATCGCAGCGCGCCGCCAAAACGCTGCACAATGTCGATCATGAAGCACGGAGGACATTCGATCGATTTTACCCCGGGCGGCGGGTCGAGACACAGCCTGGGTCGACGTCGCCGGCGGCAGTGGTCGCAGCACGTTCATGGCCGGCATCGCGCGCACGACGGCGCTGTCGCTGCTGGCGCTCTTCGCTTTGGGCCTCTGGCTCACGCACCGGTCCCTGCGCGCGGCGACGGGCCGAGCGAGCCCCGGGGCGCGGCTGGCGGCCATCGAGGGCGACGTGCTCGCGCGGCTCGAGGCCCAGTCGAAGCGCGCCGACGAGGCGGAGAAGCTCGCCGAGGAGGCCATCGAGTTCTCGAAGACGCTGCGCCTCGAGCGCGACGAGGCCCTCCAGAGCCTCGCGGCGCTCGACGCCGCGCCGCCGGCGCCCGCCGTGTCGCGCAACGTCGAGGACTGGCTCGGCGGCAAGCCGCCGCCCGCGGCGCCCGCGCCGCCGCCGAGGGTCGTGCAGCTGCCGAAGCCCGCGGCGGCGGCGGCGACGCCCTACATGCCCGCGAAGGACGCGTCGCCGCTCCGCGTGTGCTACGAACACGAGGGCGAGCCCGGCGGCGAGACCTGCGTCGAGCCCGAGCTCCAGTACACGACGAAAACGAACGTGCGCTGGATCCCCGCGATCGCGTCGAAGCCCGGCTGGCGCTTCCACCACCTCATCGAAAACGGCTTCGCGCGGCACCCGGCCGTCGTCCCCGTCGCGAGCGACGAGGAGGCCGACTTCGTGCTCTACCTGCCCGTCTGCACGCCCACGCCGCCGCCCGTGGCCAACGGGCCGAACAAGCTCGTCGTGCTCGACGAGGGCGACGGCGCGGGCTTCTACCCGCGCGTCGGCGAGCACGACTACCTGATCTACCTCAAGCGGTCGTTCGTGACCAAGTCCGACGGCGTCTACACGGGCACGGGCCGGCGCTACAACCGCCACTACTACCCCATGGCCTACTCCGTCGCCGACTCCTACTTCCACGCGGAGCTCATGGGGAAAGTAGCGCGGACGATCGACGTGCTCTGCTCGAACCGGCCGACGTCCAAGCAGCCGACGCGGTCGCGCGTCGTGTCCTGGATCCACACCTACCTCGAGGCGCACCCGGACGTCCGGGGCATCGCGGGCGACGTCAACAGCGGCGGCCGCCGCGAGATCAACGACGGCTACTTTGGGGCCATGCGGAAGTCGAAGATCGTCGTGACCTGCAACCCGAGCCACTGGGAGGGCGACTTCCGGACGTTTGAAGCGCTGGCCTCCGGCGCTCTGATCTTCGTCGACGAGATGTACGTGCCCCACCCGCGGCCCTTCGTCGACGGCGAGCACGTCGTCGTCTACGACAACTCGGACGAAAAGGCGTTCGCGGAGAAGCTCGCCTACTACCTCGCGCGCCCGGACGAGGCGGCGAAGATCGCCGCCGCGGGGCTCAAGCACGCCCTGAAATACCACCGGGCCGTGAGCCGCATGGACTGGGTGCTCCGGAGCGCGCACGAGATCAAGTCGTACGCGGACGCGGACTCGCACCCCTACACGCACACGGCCCGGGCCATCAAGCACGACGTCAAGGCGACGACCCAGGTGCCGCCCGTCGTCGACATCGGCGCGCCCGAGTTCAAAAACGTCAAGTCCGTCGCCCCGCGGAAGAACGTCGGCCGCGCCGTCGCGCCGGGCAAGCTCTCCGAGGACCAGATCGCGGACCTCGTCAAGCAGAACAAGGTCCACCGCAAGCAGCTCGGCTTCCGGCGCATGCTGCGCCGGCGCCGGCGGCGGCGCTAATCTATTTTTCTCTAGTTGCCGCGGTGCTTGAAGCCAGCGTTGAACCGAGGCTGCCCTGATCACGATGGACCCGGACCGCGCCAATCGCTTCGTCGTGTCGTCGAAGCGCGGCGCGCTCATGCGCCAGGGCGCGTCGCTCGACGCGCCGCCGCGCGAGGGCTTCGACGTCGGCGCGGCGCCGGCGGGCGTCGCCGCGCCCGTCACCGAGGCCGCCACGATCCCGGCCGGCACGGTCGTCGCCGTCGGCGAGCTGCGCGCGCTGGCGAGCGGCAAGGTGCGCGCGCGCCTCGACGCGCCGGCGGCCTGCGCCGGCGCCTGGGTGTCGGCGAGCATGCTTAAGCTGCTGCCGGCGACGGAGGCCGCCGCGCGCTGGCTCCCTTCGGCCCCGCGGCCGCCGCTCGCGTCGACGACGCCGCGCGTCTTCTGCTTCGCGGCGAGCGGCACGGGCCCGGAGCTCTTCGACAAGCTCGCGGCCCGCTGCGGCGGCCGCCTCGAGCTCACATGCGCCCTCCTGCCGGGCCGCCACCCGCGGCACAAGGAGGACGTCGTCGGCGACTTGGGCGCGCTCGCGGCGGCGCTCGCGGACTACCTGCCGCTGGAGGAGTCCCTGGCGCCCTACGCGCTCCTCGGCGTGAGCATCGGCGCGCTCGTCGCCTGGGCGCTGGCCAAGGACAGCGTCCTGTGGCCGTGACGATTTTCGAGAGATTCGGGGCGGGAAACAATGAGAAATCGTCACCATCATGCTTGGTAGGCCAAGGAGCTCCAGCGGCGCGGCCGCCGCGCGCCCGCGGCGCTCGTCGTGTCGTCCGAGGAGTCGCCCGCGCACTTCGAGACCCACACGTGCTGGACCTTCACGGAGGCGACGAGCGACGCCGACGTGGCGGCGGAGCTGCGGCGCTCGGGCTTCTACGACGCCGTACCCGACGAGTTCTGGGACAGCCCGGGCTACCTCGCGTCGTTCGTCCCGCGGACGCGCAAGGAGCTGCAGCTCGAGATCGGCTGCGCGGCGACGCGCGCGTCCTACGGTGGTCCGCCTCTGGCCTGCCCCATATCCGCGTTCCTCGGCGGCAAGGACCGCATCACGCGCGCGTCCATGGAGTCCTGGCGCGACGAGACGGCCGGGACCTTCGCGTTGGCGGTCCATCCCGCCGGCGAGCACCTCATGGTCGCGCGCGACGCCGCGGTCCACGCGGAGATGCTGCGCGCGATCCTGGACAGCTGCGCGCCACAGGACGGGTAAAATTTCATCTAAGAAGGGCGCCTAGGCGGCGTCGAGGGCCGCGCGCATGGCGTCGAGGACCGCGTCGACGACGGCCGGGGACGACGCGAGGACCTCGTGCTGGCAGTCGAGGCGCGCGAAGTCGCCCGCGAAGGCCGTCGTGAAGACGCGCTCGACCTCGTTGACGTCGATGTGCTCGTCGACCTTGGAGCCCGGCTCGACCGGCCCCGGCGGCCGGTCCGGCGAGGACGCGTCGTAGCGCGGCGCGAAGCAGCGCGCGGGAATCGCCAGCTTCTCGAAGCCGGGTTTCGCGAGCGCTTTGTTGAGCCGCTTCTGGGCCTCGAGCATGGCGACGACGTAGCCGAGCCAGGTCGGCTTGCCCCGGCAGGGGTTCAGGTAGCGGTCGTAACACCGGCGCCGCTCGGCCATGACCTTGTCGAGCCACGAGGGGCCGTCCGCGACGACGGGGTCCGCGCCGAGCTCCGAGTCGCGCGCGAGGACGACGGACCGCGCGAGGGCCGCGTAGGTCGCCGGCGCGAGGAACCGCAAAAACCGGCAGGCGCCGAGCACGACGTCGTCGACGGGCCGCGGCACGGACACGGCGTTCATGCGAACGCACGGCGAACAGAACAGGAGACCGGCCACGTGCCGCTCCTTCAGCCCCGCGTCGCCGAGGGCCACGGCCCACTCCATGAGCGCCATGCCCCCCGTGCTCAGGCCGCAGAGGACAACGGAGGTGTACCCGAGGGACGCGGCGTACGCTACGCAATCGTCGATGTCCTCGCCGAGCTCGCGCAAGTCGGCCGCGTAGTTGAAGCGCTCGTCCTTGACCTTGGAATTCCGGAACGCGCGGCCGTAGCGCCGGAAGTCGCAGAAGACGGGCTCGAGGCCCCGGGCCAGCCACGCGTCGACGAGGTCGAAGTCGTCCGCGCAGCGCCCGAGGCCGGGCAGGCACACGACCGCGGCGTCGCGCGTCCGCGTCTCCCGCGCGACGACGGCGCCGCCGCGCGGCAGCGCCGCGGCGCCGCCGTAGCCCGTTTCCCGTCGCATGCGCGCGTCGACGTCGACGCGGCCGCCCGCCGCGTCGACGTTCGAGTTCCTGTCGTCGCCGGCGAGTGCGTGGCGCGCGAAGCGGTCGGCGAAGTCCAGGTCCCCGGGCGTCACGCCGACGGCCGCGCGCGCGGCGGCGAAGACCAGGCCCAGCACGAGCGCGAACGCGACGGCCGCCGCCGCGACGGACGACAGCTGGTCCGGCTGGATGATGGGCAGCATTGTGTCGAGACAATTACCACAAGCGCTTTTTGGTTTGCAGGGCGGGCGTCAGGGTGAGTGGCGTGGCGGCCGTGCTCGCGCTGCTGCTATGACCACGATATGTGCTCCTCACGAGCTTCGCGGCACCGCTTGTCGACTGGTTTGGGCGTCGGTGGCGGCGACGGCGCGAGCGGCGCGCAGTGCTTGGCTGAGCTCTCGATGGTGAAGCCGTGGATGCCGCGTGAGAGCACCTCCACATCAGCAGCCATCAAGCACCGAGCCCAGTCACAATGGCCGTCCTCCGCTCCGCCCTCCTCGCGCTCGCGGTCTGCGAGACGGCCAACGGCTTCGTCGCGCCGGCCGCCCGGGCCGCCTGCGCCGCGTCGCCGCGCGCGTCGCCCCTCGCGGCGCGGAGCCGGCTCCTCGACGAGCTGGCGACGCTCGACGGCGACCTCGTCGACGACGACGAGGACTTCGCGGCCCCCGAGGCGAGTAAGAGCGCGTCGGCGCTCGCGCCGGAGACGCTCTTCTTCGAGGGCCCGCCGTCCATCACGGAGCTCGTGCTGCCGGCGATCTCGATCATCACGATCATCGGCGTCGTCCCGTTCCTGGCCGCGGCCGCGCGGCAGGTCTGGGTCAAGTACAAGATCACGAGCCGGCGCATCTCCGTCCAGAGTGGCCTCGGGGGCAACGACTTCACGGAGATCATCTACTCCGACATCGTCGACCTCAAGTACGTCTACCGGGGCTCGAAGGAGGTCGGCGACATGGTCATCGAGCTCCGCGACGGCGCCAAGCTCGAGATGCGCCACGTGCCCAAGTTCCAGGACATCTACAAATACATCTACTCGCTCTGCTCCGAGGAGTGCCAGGCGACGGCCGCGTCCATGAAGTAGGCGGGCTCGGTTCGACACGCGGCGGCATGTTCGTAACCACGCCTCGGCTAGCCCCCGGGGACAAGGGACAGCGCATTGCCCCTTCAGGGAGACGGCCTTTTCATCGCGCGCGCGCAGCCAAGTGGGCAGCGCACTGTGCACATGTCGCGTTACGGCGCGGAACGGCCCCCGCTCTACACGCCGTCGAGCTCCGCGGCGATCTGGCGCTCGAGGTCGTCGTCGTCGTCGTCGCCGACCTCGACGTTCTCGATCTCCGCGAGGACGGCGGCGTCGAGGGCGTCGTCGTCGGCGACGAGCTCGCCCGAGCTGCCGAGCGCGTCGTCGGGCGCGCGCCGGGGCGACGCCGGGTCGTCGTCCTCGACGTGGACGAGGGACGAGAACTCGGACGCGGCCTCGCTCGCGTTGATGAGCACGGCGCTGTCCGTCGCCGACGACTCGGACGGGGCGCGGAACTTGGACGCGCGCGGCGGGGCGGCCCTCTCNAGGCGCGAGCGCGGGCGCCGTCGGCGGCGACGGCAGCGGCGCGGGCGGCGGCGGCGGCGGGGGTTGTTTGGGCGCCGGCGCCGGCGGCGGCGCGGGCTCCCGCTGGACGACGGGCGGCGCGAGCGCGTCCGCGGGCCGGCCGCCGGCGAGCGGCGGGTCGGCGCCGAGCGCCGCGCGGACCTCGGCGACGCGGTAAAAGTAGTTCGTGAAGAAGGTCTCCTCCTTGGCCTTGTGGGCGAGCTTCGTGTGCGCCTTCTTGAGGGCCGGGTCGAGCTCGAGCAGCTCGAGGATGAGCGCCGTGCGGCGCGCGAAGGGGAACGCGTAGGTCGCCTCCGCCGGCGGCGGCCGCGTGAACGTGGCCTCGTCGCGGCTCAGGCCCAGCACCAGTGTCTTGATGTCGCTCCCCTTTGCCGGGACGTCCCAGGGCAGCGCGTCGTTCTGGCCCGTGTACGCCCCGCCGGAGGCCTCGTCGCCGGAGCCGCCGTCGCCGTCCTGCTCGGCGATGAAGCGCGCGTGCTCCTCCTTGAGGCTCTCGATGTCCGCGGCGATGCGCTCCTGGGCCGACTCGACCGTGGCGGCCACGGTCTCCTTGAGGGACGAGAGCCGCTCCTTGGCGCTCTCCGTCTTGGCGTCCAGCTTCGCCTGGACGGAGAGCAGGGCCTCGCTCCAGAAGCCCGACATCGTCCGCTGCCGCTTGAGGCACGGGAAGCAGCGAATCTTGGAGGTCCGGGCGGCGCGGCAGGGGAACCGCGGGCGCACCGACGACGGAGGCTTCTGTTCGGCAGAGCTTGCGACGCGCGCGCCGCCGCTGAGCAAGAATCCAGCGAGGCCAAACTTTACCCTCACTTGCGCCTCGCCACTGCCACTAGACATCGGCCGATGGGCGCACCAGAACTCAGCGACTTCCGCACCGATTTGGTCGCTTCAAAGCCATGCTGTTCGTCACACACACCCTACGCGATGGTCCATCGACTTGGTTTGACGCGCGCCGCCGCGCGCACGCGAAAATCGGCTGGCACAGGCTGCGACGGCGGTCGATGGCGATGGTCCACGGGGTCACAGCGCGACCAGAGGCTACCTTGCCCGTCCCTTGGTCATCGCTGCTTGGTTTATGTGTGGACGGAACTGCGTGGACCGTTGGACGGACCCGGGAACCGGTTTTCGCACGCGCTCGCGACCTCGGCGCGCTGGCGCGAACGCTGTATCGAGACGCGCTTGTGTACGTCGAGAGAGGCTTCTCCGAGGCTGTACGAGCTACAGCGGCTGGCGCGCGGACCCCTACGACTCGGCCAAGGTGTCAGACACGTTACTGCGACGCCTTCATGGCCTCGACGGCATGGGCCCAAAAGCGCCGATATCGCCCTGGTGCCAGGCTCAGCATTCGCGCGCGCGTCGCGACGACTACGACCGCGCGTCGAGCTCCGAACGCGATGCCCGTCGAGTGCAGCGTCGTGGGCGCCCTGCGTTCGACTCCTCGCCCCCAAACCGGCCTTTTTCGAGCCCACCACGTCCAGAAATCGACCCATCGCCGCCGCGCTCCCAGCCATCGACTACCGAACACCCACGCCCCGCGCGAGCCCGGACGCGAGAGGGCTCCCTTGTGGCTACCTAACAGCGCCCTGGTGGCCCCATGGGGCGCCCTCCTCGCTGCCGAGGGCTGGGAGCGACTGGTGCTCAGATTTGACAAAATTAGCCCGGCGAAACAGCTCCGACGCTCTCCGAGCGCCTCAGAGAGCATGTGAGCTGATTTCGAGACCTTTTGCAGCCGCTATGGCATGGATTCCAGCCGTTCTTCTTCGTGTGCGCGCCCCGGACATGTTGCGACGACAACCACGCGCAAAGTCGGCGCTCGATGCGGTCGCGCGCGTCCGGAATCGGCTCAAAAGTGGTCGATTTGCGAGTTATAGCCCATGGATCCAAGGTTTTGCGCGAGTTCGGGAATGTCAGACGCCACAGAGGCGGCGAACGTGACCCATGGTAAGCCCATCGTCGCACTGCACAAGTGGTCCCGCGTCGCGGGCTCCGTCGGCGTTTTTACAGCGTTCGAGAGCGTGTCGGCGTTTCGCTCGGGAAGCCTCGAACGCGCAGCCGTGGACTCGAAAACAGCCCCGATGGTCGTCTGGCGGTCCGGTCAGCTCGGTCTATGTACTGAGCGTCCTAAAACGACCAAGGGACGGGCAAAGCTGCCTCGGGCGACTCGATGACCCCGAATCGACTCGAAATCATCAAATCCGAGCACCTGGCGCGGCCGCGGTGGCCGCGCGCGCGCGTCGCTCGGTAACAAATAAGCTTTGGCCGACCTCCTAGGACTGATGCGCCGCGGGGCCACCGAAAACCGCACCCGAATCGGTGTCGACGCCGCCGAGAACGAGCTGCGCAGGCCGCCGCCGATGTCGAGTGGCGGCCTCCAGCCAATCAGGGCGCAAGTGCCCTGCCCACGCGGTCAATCTTGACTTTGGGGAGGTGAGGCCCTCGGCTCGGAGAGCGGCCGCCGCAACAGCGCGTGCGCGGCGCCCCCGGGGAGTGGGGCCGCGCGCTCCCGCATGTGCCTCGGGACCGTGCGTGGCCAGACCACTGCGAAGACGCCGCGCGCGAAACGGTCCGGGCGTCGTCGAAAACGCAACGGCCTCGTCGGAGCGTTCTCTCGAGACGGCTGGCGCGTGTTGGACGTGTTCCGGACCTCGCTGGCCTGGTTTCTCCGGAGGAAGTGCGGAGAGGGTTGCTATGAAGAACATGTCTCGCGAAACCAGGCCAGATGTACCGTCGGACCACCCTACGGCCTCGGTTCCTCGATTCTCATCGATTGGCGGCGGTCTTTCCGAGCCAGTGTGCGGCGCCGCGACGCCCCTGGACGTCCAGAGCGGTTCCGATGCCCTCTCACGACCGATCACCGGGGCTCCGCTGGCCCGCGCGTCAGGTGAACGCGGCACTCGACAGCTACAGCTTGGGCGCCTCCTGCCAGCGCCTCGAAAACGACACCAACACGGTCTACAGCGACGACGCGCCCACGAACGCGGACTGGCGCTGTCGTTGCGTCGAGACATCTTGTCTCGACTCCAGAAGACGCTCGGCCATCGAAACGGTGCTCTGCGCGCCTGTTTTCCTGCCGCTGGTGCCTCGCCAGTACACCCTAGCCGTACTAAACCAGTACAAACGCGTCGTATACGGCCGTATATACTCGCTTCGGCGCCCCGCTCGACCGCCCGGGGCCCGCCCGGACTCACCGGGCCAGCGTGGACGTGCGTGGCACCCGCCGCCGTCGGGTGGACGCGCGTACGTGGCGCTCGCGCACGCCGGAAATCTCCAAAAACCGACATTTTCGGCCATAACTTGTGCCAATCGATGACCTAGCATGATCGGCTGCGGTTCCGGAGCCCCAGATAAACGTCCATCACGATGAGACAAGCAGGTGGTCCGCGGTCGAGGTGCCCAAAATCGTCGATTTTCCAGTGGCGTGGGCAGGGTAAAAACTGCCCCACAGTCGCCCTCGACCGCCAGCTCCACTGCGCCGCTGCCCTCGCCGCGCGCGCCGACGCGCCTGCGAACGTCGTGCTCGACGTCTCGACGCGCCGCGCCTCAAACCTCGATCGACTCGTCGCGCCGCGCCGACGCCCGCCAGCTGCGCCCCGTCGCCTGCCGACGCCTCGCAGCGACATGCTGCGCGCCGCCTTCGGCCGCCTCTCGGCGTCGGCGTCGGCCTTCGCCCCGCCCCTGCAGCAGCGCCTGACGTCGCTGCTCGGCGGCGTGCGCACGAAGTTCAGCGTCGACATCGACGGGCGGACGTCGCCCGACTTCGCGATGTCGCTGCTGAACCGCAAGCTCCAGCGCGCGGGCGTCATGCGCAAGCTGCGGAAGCGCGGCTTCCAGAAGCCCTCGAAGATCAAGTACGACGACCGCCTCAAGCGCGAGTACAAGTTCTCCTACCGCAAGGTGCAGAACGTGCTCACGTGGATCGAGATCGAGCGCGGTCTCAGCGCGGCGCGCAGGAAGGCGGCGCGCGCGGAGAAGGCCCAGCTGAAGGGCCTGCCGAAGGGCGACTAAACTCCCCTCTGGTAGAAAGCGACCGCCGCAGCTAGTCTAAGCGACGGAGCCAGAAAATGCCGGCGGCGCCGGCCGGACGCGTCTCGCGGGGTCAGTGGCGGCGCGGCGCGTGTTGCCGCGAAGGATCAAGATGCGCAGGTTCGCGGCGTGGGCTGCCAGGATGATGAGCGCCGCCGCCGCACGAGCACTGGGAGGGTCCCGAAGAAAAAAACTTCAACAATCGGTGCAAGATCCGGTGCGTTTTGCTCCGTGACGGCAGCCCGACGCGCTGTGAGCTCTCATTCTGCCGGCGCCTTCCCGCGGCTCGCGGCCCTGGGCCGCAGCCCCGGGTGACCCGCCGGCTCGGCCCCGCCGGCCGCGCCGATCGAGCCCTACCAACCGCGACCGCCGCGCCGGCGTGAAACCATGGCCCCGCGCCTCTGCGACTATTGCCGCCTGCAGCGCCTCAAGCCCAGCGAGATCTTCGAGGACAAGAAGAACGTGTGCATGTCCTGCGGCACGAAGCAGTGGAAGATCCCGGGCTACGCCGAGCAGCACGCGCTGCCGAAGCTCAACATCAAGCAGCACGGCAAGGTGCGGAGCTGGCACGCGAACGTGCCCCTGGCGCAGATCCGGTTGCGGAACCGCGCCAAGGCCTTCGGCCTCACCTTCGAGGACCCGCTCCGGGCGACGCGCGACGCCGAGGCCCAGGGCACCATCGCGCGCGACCTGCTGAAGAAGTGCGCCATCGACTGCGTCTACCACTACCCGGCGCCGTTTCGATTGGTGCTCTTCGACGCGGGGCCGCGGCCGGAAACGGGGACGGCGGCGCGGCCGGAGCCCGAGGGCGACGTGCCGGCGCGGCGCCTGGGGGACGTCGTCGCGACGATCCAGTACGACGTTCTCAAGCGCTACATCAACGCCGTCGCGGTCTCGGAGCGGTGGCGGCGCCGGGGCATCTCGCGGTTCCTCATCGACGCGGCCATGGCCCACATCAAGGACATGGCGCCCCACGGCG